TGACTTGACTCAATTTTTTCTTTTTAAAAAAATAGTAAATCAGTCTCAAAACAAGATCAAAAAGACTTTTTGGCTGGATATAAAATTTAAAAATTTGGTAAGATGGACAATTTTTGCAGTGCTGGTTTATGGTGAGTTCACAAAGTTTTAACACCAACTGAACCACTGAATCCAGAATTTGAAGTTGAAACATGACCAGTATAACCGTAGTCCTTCAATGAAAGCAACTAGAAATGACCTCTTTAATGAGGTTTGTAGACTCTTGGTTCTTATAGCCCCTACCTTTCTACTGTATGTTCAAAAATGTATGCTTTTGTGATTAATTATTACATGCTTTTAAAGGGATCTCAGACTAGTTGTAACATTYGACGTTWTTTGATAAACATTTACTTCAATAAAAAAACAAGACTGTAAAAGTACTGTAGGTTGTTTAGTTTTTATACATTTTTAAATTATATTTTCACACAAACGTTGCCTCGTTATTTATGCCGCAAAGCATGCTGGGTAAGTGGTAACCCTTAGGTTCTCCAGTGTGAGCTCTATCCAGCTTGAAGGTTAATTTAGGACAACGTCTGACATTTTAAAAGGAACCAGCGCACGCTGACAGAGAGGAGAATGTGGAAATGACTCAGCCTGACACTGACAATAATGATGGGGGATAACAGAGCTGCTTCAAAGAAGGAGAACCTCAGCTTTAGCATTTTAGTTTTTGGATTTAGCTCCTGAGCTAATATATTGCGTTAGCTCCAAGATCTGATGGTTCCAAACGCACAACTCAAACACAGAGGTGATAGAGACCTCTCTGCTGCAGGTCCAAAACTGTGGAATGACGTGCTACTAAATGTCTTCAAGTCTTGTTTAAAAACACCTTATTATTCCCTTGCCTTTGACTCTGACTGAGCTGGCTCRACTGTGTATTAAAGCTCTGATATTTTCAACTGTTTGCAGTTGTCTATTCTAGAAGGAATCTCCTGACTGCATTGAGTTCTATCCATAAAAAGTCCTAAACAGAAATGGTGACAATGGGTGACTTACATCCAGCAATGAGAACCAGATTCTTGGATTGTTTCTAAGAGACTGGATGACCCATAACAACGGACCAATGATAAAAAAAAATACAGAAACATTTTTACCAATCCTGTTATGAAATAAATATTAATTGAGAGAGATTAYTGAATAGTTGGAAACAGGAAAAACATCTATGCTAGTACRCTYCTAAACAAGGCTGCATAGTTACATTAGCCCCAATTTTAGGACTGTTTGGTTGTTTTCTATAGARGTGTGTTTTATTATAGTATTTACTGTGTCTTTGCTTGTCTTGTTTTTTATTCATCTTGAATGCATGTTTTTAACATGGAGCCCTGCTAAAGATGATTTTCTGTCACCTTTGGGACAGACAATAAAGTTTATCTATCTGTCTGTCTGTCTGTCTATCTATCTATCTATCTATCTATCTATCTATCTAAAAAAATGGAAAATCTTTAGCCAAGCTAAACCTTCAGTGTGAAGCTAAAATGTTCCTGTGGAGTTCAACAAATTGTTTTYTTCCATTCAGGGACCTCAGGGACCACAGGGAGTCCAAGGTGAGAGAGGACCAACAGGAGAGGGTCTCCCTGGACCAAAGGTGAGCGGGTTCATGACTTGTATGTCCAAAGCTCCTGGGACAGTCAGTATTACCTGAAAAACTCTTGCACTCAAAGCATGTTAACAGCTTCACCRTTCGGACAGAGTATTCACCCAGCCACCCTCTGACCTCCACACAGGTCCCTGTCAGGGCTGCAGGTTCTACGGCGCTGTGACGGGAAATTGAGARCGTGTAGGGTTAGGAGACGATAACATATGACAGAAGTGGCATAAATCCTCTTACAGCAGCTGCTTCCATTACCTCATGCTCCTGCTGTCTATTGATTGACCCTTGCTGGAGGAGATGAGAACATCTCAGCTCAGAGATTGTCTGGGGGGGGGGGGGGGGTGGGACACCTCCACATGTCAGATGGTGACTCAGACAGAGGGTAATAACAGCCCATTAAAGAGTCTGTGGATTCTCAAATGAACACTGAGCACCAACAGAACATCATGTGTGGACACACTCACTCTGCTTTGGTTTTTTTATTAGTTGTTTATAAAATAAGCCAGAAGCATTACGACTTTTGAGRGTCTAAAATATAAAAATTGAAGCAGCATTCAGACCTAACTCTGGCACCTATACGTAAAAGTCCTCTTTCTTTCAACGTGTCTTATTATCAAAGGTAGTCAGATATTCTGAGTTTACCTCTCTTAACAGTTTGTCAGATTGTTGTCATGATCCTCCTGACAGAACCTGACAGAACTGTTTTAACTCAGATTTCAGCTCTGTCCTCAAATGTTTTCRGGGACTGAGATCAGGACTTTGTGACTAAAGAATGTGAACTTTGTTGTTCTGAAGACTCCAACCTTTCACTTCCTGTCTGATGTCTTCAGATATTGTTGGTGTTATTGTTCAGTAAACTACGTCACGATGCTGCCACCTCCGTGCTTCACAGTCAGGACGATGTTCTCAGGATAACAAGCTTCCTCCTCTGTCCTTCATGTGGAGCCATGGTTTTAATGGTTCAGTTTTAGTTCTTCAGACCTCAGGACYTGTCTCCAGACATTCAGGTCTTTGTCCCTGTGTCCATTTACAAACTGTCATCTGTATTTGTTACATTGGGAGACATTTCTTCATTCTCACTGAGTGGCTTTTCAGTCTGTGGTGCTCCAGGACTRGTTTGACCCTGATCAGCTTCAGCAGCATCTTCACAGGATCTGCAGAACTCAACTCCTTCCTGAGGAAGGGTATCGAGGAACATGGAACATATCACCTTCCTGAGGGCTAGGATGGAGCATGGAACATGTCTCCTTCCTGAGGGGTATGATAGAACATGGAACATGTCTCCTTCCAGAGGGGTAGGATGGAACACAGAACATGTCTCCTTCCAGAGGGGTATGATGGAACACAGAACATGTCTCCTTCCCGAGGGGTGTGATGAAACATGGAACATGTCTCCTTCCTGAGGGGTATGATGGAACATGGAACATGTCTCCTTCCAGAGGGGTAGGATGGAACGTAGAACATGTCTCCTTCCAGAGGGGTATGATGGAACATGGAACATGTCTCCTTCTCGAAGGATATGGTGGAACATGGAACATGTCTCCTTCCAGAGGGGTATGATGGAACATGGAACATGTCTCCTTCCTGACGGGTATGATGAAACATGGAACATGTCTCCTTCTCGAGGGGTAGGATGGAACATGGAACGTCTCCTTCCCGAGGGGTATGATGAAACATGGAACATGTCTCCTTCCAGAGTGGTATGATGAAACATGGAACATGTCTCCTTCTCGAGGGGTATGATGGAACATGGAACATGTCTCCTTCCTGACGGGTATGATGAAACATGGAACATGTCTCCTTCTCGAGGGGTATGATGAAACATGGAACATGTCTCCTTCCAGAGTGGTATGATGGAACGTGGAACATGTCTCCTTCCAGAGGGGTATGATGGAACGTGGAACATGTCTCCTTCCTGAGGGGTATGATGGAACGTGGAACATGTCTCCTTCCAGAGGGGTATGATGGAACGTGGAACATGTCTCCTTCCTGAGGGGTATGATGGAACATGGAACATGCCTCCTTCTCGAGGGGTATGGTGGACCACAGATTTCACTAACTGAGAAATAATCTGTGATTTTGTTCAGTTTTTGAATCAAAACAAGGAACAACAAAGATCTTATCAGTCACACGCAGGTGAGCTGGCTCTTATGAACTCATGGGCTCAAGAAAAATGATAACACAACTCATTTCTGGCACACTGGCCTTCAGTTTGACACTCTAATTATTCAAATCATTTCAGGAAATTGTTGCCAGTAGAGTTTTCAAAAAAATTGATTGTTTAGAGTTTTCAGATTAGTTTCACCACAGAGCTCAGGTTTCTTCAGAACTACTTGAGGTTGATTTTATTTTTAGATTTCGTTTGAAATGTAATTCTTCATTTAATTAAATGTATCATTTGCCTTGAAGCTGTGTGAGTCTAAATACAAATCAAAACCACACAGAGGTTTTTGTAATCACCAAACATTTTAGTTTGTAATGACTGAATAGGATGTCTTTAGGTTTTACTAAAGCTAGTTTACTACAACTAGTTCAAATTTACTGAGCAGCCTGACAACAGAAAGTAAAATTCAGGTGAACATTTTAACGACATGTGCTCTGGACCGTCGCCTGACTCATCTTTTAGTGCCCTTCTTTAAAATGCTAACAGTTTCTACRCTAAAACAAGATGAGGGTGTTCCTCCCATGCTGCAGATTAGCCTCCAGCCTCCTCCTTCTTCAGCAGGTTCGGCTGTAAACTCACAGCTGGCATTCTCGCTCTAAAGCAGCGTTCCTCACGTAATGTGCCCTGACAAGCTTCAAATTTGCAGGAGTGCAGTAGCAYCACATCATTACCACCTCTGCTTCGTGCTCTGATCCTTGAGATAAGACAATAAATTTAAACTCCTGGAAGATAATGTGAAAACGCAGCATTTCAATGCGAATTAATGAACATCTGTTTGTGAAATGGTATCCATTACCTTGGATGGAAACTGGTGAAAAGAATAAATATCTTCAAGAAAAACAATCCTCAGTCMAATCTTCAAAGCACAAAATTTGTATTATTTATGTATTTTTAGTGTATTTAGGTGTCTGTAGCCTTTCTGCCTCTTCTCACTAAATAAAACAGATCTAGAGCTGCAAAACATCATCTATCCAATTTAGCAGCTGCTTTAATTTCATCCATGAAGTTAAAGCAGCAGCTAAGAAAATGACAGTTTTAAATGTAAAAAGTATCAATTTACAAAGAGCTCCCTGCGGATTAAAGAGTCTCATGTCACAGTTTACAGATCTCTTTCCTTTCCTAAATTAAAATCTGCTGCTAAATTTAAGATCATGTCTAAATGGAGGAGAATGTTGACTATAGTGACCTCTAGTGGCAGATTTTCAGATGGCAGCAAACTTAATCTMCTTCCCAAGTCTCCTTGTCCTGATATCTGATGGTGTTGTTACAGCAGGACAGTTTTAAAGAACATTAGCTGTTAGATTAAATATTTACTGATGAGGCTGGGAAACTATTTAACCTATTTCTCCTCAAAACGTTCATTTCAAAAGTAGGACCCTAACCCTGACAAAAGGAGTGAAGGTGAAGCTGTAATTTGTAACTTTCTACAGCTACAGATGTTTTAACTCTGTGAACTAAAGTAGGATTCTGTGTTCAGCAGAATAGGGCAGTCTGAAATTAATTCTCTACCTTCTGATTCATTGAAATCTACTATATCTTTTATCCCACAGAAAATGCTGTGAGCATACATTAAGACCAACTGGCTGTGTTTATGGAATATTACATTAAACTAAAATCCTTCAGTACCTGGTAAAGCATGGTACATATTTGTGTCTTCACTTACTCTCCTGGTTGTCATGAGATTCATCTCTGTTCAGTAGAAGTTWCAATCGCTTGTTTATTTATCCTTTAAAGGGCATTTTACACACACTCCTACAAATACAAAAAGTCAAAGGAAACATCSTAATATTTAGAAAATTTGGCATAATACACGTGATTTTACCAATTTTGTCACATAACTGGCATATTTTTGGTTGAACTTGGCATGGCCAAAGTGAAACAGGAAGTGATGTCAAAGGGGAATTCCCTGGTCTTTGTTTATTAAAACAAGACTCTTTTCACCTCTCCATGATAGACTGAAAAAAAATATATCGTTATCACGATAATGTGAGCGTCCTTAAGATTGTTGGAAGGGTCGGCACGATTATCTTGCCATAAACCCGGCATTACATGCAGACACCCTTTGACATCACCTCCTGTTGCTGCATGTGCAAATATCTCAACAACAGTTCATCTCAGCTGTGTAATTTCTTCTTTTTTTTTTGCAGCAAGTTATTATTATCCAAAAATGCATTTAAAATTATCATGAAAATTTGTTGTCATGGGCACTTTAAAGTACTGTTGTGTTGAGTTTAATAGTAAGTAGTGGTGAAGTTGCTAGTGGCGTCCCAATGCCAGTATTTTTACAAGTACTCATACAAAATGCCCCAAAACATAGAATTAATATCAATACCAGTTTCAATACRATTACGATACTTCATTGAATGTGTTAGTTTCCATTTCAAGTGAGTTATTTGTCAGTCCCATGTAATGTACACAAGTCAAAAGAAAATCTTATCTGTTATTTCTATTTATTTTAAAATAATGCAACAGTATTTATTTATCATGCTGTATATTTGATCTGATCCAGTCAGATGGGCTATAGGTCTATAAGGAAAGAGAGCCTCCTTTAAAAGAAATGTGCTTTTAAAGTCGTTTTGTAATGTTTAAATTCTGACTCAGTAAGTACTCTGTATCAGTGAGTACCCAAAATGAAGAACTGATACTCAGTTTGAAAAAAACTGGTATGGAGATACCCCTAAATGTTGCTCATTGCTACTAATTGAACACCCTCCCTCTGATATGAGAATCTGTAAAACAGGTTTTCAATGGTTCAGAGATTACTGTTAGAGCAAAGAAATGTGTGATCAAACACCATGCCTCTACTTTCTGTGCCATTTTAAAAACAAGGACAGCAAACAGCCTCCCTTCCAGTGCTGCGAACACAGTCTGCTGCAGTCTGAGAGCACTTTTTTATTAAACTTTGTCTTTTGTTTGTTCATTTTTCTGCATTTTAGTGTATCCTGCTCACTCAGAAAGAGATGGAACGGGCTGATTTCAAAAGAGGACCCAAATGCAGGAACTCAGCAAAAAGCCATAAAACTAAACACTTTTATTCAACAAATGAATACCAAAGACACTAAAAACCTGATGCAACGAACAGCTGGCAACTTGGACCAGAATATTCTGAGAGTTAATGACTCTCTCAGACCAGGTGCWAAAGCAGAGGTGCTAAAGATGAAAGCAGCCATTAATACCCTGYATTTTTCTAGGATAATAGTTTTCTAAATTTAGGTGATGTTCTCAAACYGACCGTTTACCTACAAGGATATAGGTTTAATTAACTTCCTCCATTAAACTACTTCATCAAAACACTTAATATTCTCAGATTTTTTACTTTAATTTTTAATATCCTGCATGCATCTTTTTATATTTATTTTTGTTTTAAATAGGACTAAACCCAACATTTCCTGAATCTCATTTCATCAACACCACATTTTAGATTTATATCAGTAAAAATAACTGTCCTTTTTGTGTTACCTTTGGTTGTTTAGCTATGATGGCCATCTTCAATCACGTTGAGTCCAAAAGTTAATTATCATTTAGTGAACACTTTCCATTCAGTGGTTCGTAAGAAATTTTGCTAACAGACATGATCGCCCATATATCATGGTGATGGGTGATAAAAAATACTTTTAGATACTAAAACAGAGATCAAAAGACTTGATTTGACCAGAAATTAAGCARGAACTCGTCATTCGCTCGTAACAGTTTGATTTATGTGAAAATCAGATTTCCTGAGTATATAACCAAGATTTAATGTTTGACTGTACTTTTATCAACGCTGCACATGCTTCAGCTTTGCCACCACTGTCAGGATATGTCTTACTAATATTTCAAAAGTCAAACGCAATAACTTCTCTCTCRGCCTTCACAGGGCGAGCGAGGCTTCGAGGGGCCGCGGGGGCACCGAGGACAGCCGGGCGCTGGAATTAAAGGAGAAAAGGTAGAGACTATAAAAGAGGCGCCTCGCTGCAAAGACTTCACAAAGAACCCAGAAAGCTAGAAAGCTAGAGTCTTATTGTGAAGGGAGGGGGGGCCAAAAGTTGCCTGAGCCACGGATAAATGCAGCGAGCGTGGTGTTATGTAGGAGGTCAGAGTCTGGAGGTGATGAATCAAGGCTAAAGCTTGAATAGTGTAGGAGGACGGTGGTTTTATGGCTGGGCGTGATGAATGTGGGAACTGACACAGCCAGACTTCACTGTGGAGGTAAGGGCTGAATTTGTCACAATGTTTTTGCAAATCACTGCCTTAAATCACAGATGTACACAGTGGGGGAGAGAGAACTTTCTGGACGTGATCATTTGTCTCAAATATAAGGTGTTTATAAAATTATTATGACTGAGACAATGACTTTAAATTTAAAGTTCATGTTGCTTACAGGCTTACAGCTCAGAAAAGCCTTCAGGTGTTTTCCATAATAAATCACCACCTTCCAGCTGATGCACCAACTATGAGCATTTATGCACTATTATCATCATCGCTGAGCTCTGTTTTTATGTGAACCTACAGGGSGATTTTGGCCCTCCAGGTTTTCCAGGGGTCATCGGCCTCCCTGGAATCGGCATTCAAGGAGAAAAGGCAAGTAGGAGTATCTACCTTCCAACATGTTTGTGTAATAAACACACATTCACTGACAAAAACAGGTCATGTGACTGRACTGTATTGATTATAGGCACTGGTGGGCAGCACTAATGTAAAAATTAGTTCCASTAYCCCTAAAACACTAACTCAAATATTTAGGTCCCCTAATTCTAAAGCACTAATGCACTGAAAGTTTTAYCAAAAGTTAATTCTAAAGCACTAAAATAACCCAATCAGCCCGTGAACATTCTCCAACAAACAACATGAGTCACATGTTGTCATGTTGCTCTCTGAATACTCATTATTAACATTCCACAGCTGTGTTTGGGTTCATATATTGTCATCTAGTGCAGAGGTTCCCAAACTTTTTATCTTCTGACCCACAAAATATTCATGGCAAAAACTTGTGACCCCAAATATTACTGGTCTGAGTACACAAACTTTGCTAATAACCCTAAAAACAAAGGCTACACAAATATAAATACTTATTTATACTTATTTTGTGTTTTTGTAATAATTATAGGGAAAATATTACATCACCAATTATTTTATTACACTTTAAACTGATTTCTGAAGTGCACTGGTTCCCAAACTTTTCAGCTTTTGACCCACAAAATAACAGTAGCAGAGACCTGTGCCCACAAATATTTTTGGATGAAATTGTATCAGGTCAACTAAACATGGGCATAGTAACAATATTTATTATTCTACATTTATAAATTTTAGGCAACTAAGGCAAAAATGTAATTAATTTAGAAAATATTTTCAAGACCCCACCTTGATGCTTCAGGACCCCACTTTGGATCCTGACCCCACTTTGGGAACCACTGACCTGGTGGATCAGTGACACACACATATGAACAAAATGTGTGACAGTTTTAACCATCAGCTGTTAACATTAATGTTGATCAATAACGTTTATAGACCTCAGTTAGTGCTTCTAAATTTAGCAAGTGCTAATCCACTAATAAATTTTAAAATTAGCAAAAGCCCTAAAGCACTAATCAGGAAATTAGTTCCCCTATTAGTGCTTTAGTGCTTTAGGGGAACTGTGCCCACCACTGATTATAGGGTTGGGCAATATTGGCAAAAAAAATTAATCACAATTAATTGTGGTATTTAGCCGACAACGATTAATTTGACGATTAATCCCCTGGAGTCCCTGGACACCCCTATTACATAGTCACATGACCAATTTAATGGGAAAGATTTGCTCTTTATAAAAAATCTGTTCCAAATTGTCTGAAAATTACAGATTTCAGGCTATACATCATATTTTAAATTGTGTTGATAGATAAATAAATTACAGAACTTTATTTTTAATGTTCGTCATATTTGAAGTGGAGAGGAGCACCAAGCAGACTGACCAGAGTAATCCCCAGTCAGTCTGCCCGGTGGCATTAATTGTATCAATCGTCAAGTGCCAAAAAATAATCGATTAATGTTTTTCTGACAATTATTTSCACACGATACGATTATGCCCAACCCTAGTTGATTATGACACCAGATTTACTGGATAACAGAGTTGGCAGTACAGGCACTCTGTTGGTCCTGTTCAGGAGGACCCCACCCCTTACCTCAMGCTTGGATAAATGGACCCTTATATCTGGAATCTTCCTCTGTTGACCCAGAGCTGTTAGAACCTGAGGTCTGGTATGAATTGATCACATGTTCAGATATGGCGGTTTAGGGGTCTGTCTGTGCAGATGTCACTGACATTGCTGTATTATCTGGGCCTCCTGGATCAGAACCAGATAACAGTAAAACCCACACCCTTTTCTAAGATAACCTTTGTAGCAMAAATGACCCTGACWTGACCTTTTGACCACCAACAGTCATGTCTGAAAGATCTTACAAGTTAGTGAACTATACTTTAAATCACAAAAGCTGAAGTTTTATTGTTAATGAAGTTAGGTGAATGGAAAATAACTAAATAATGAATAGCAACACACCTGAGTAGATGCTTTGTTTGTTTGCCTTTTTAGAAATTGCAGCTCTTATTAATAGTCAGGTCGCAGTTAGAGTTCAGACTGGAAACCTAGAAATACTGTTTGAAAAACATTTAGAAAACAATAGCAGGGTTTGCTAAAATTACATAAAGCTACTTTGGTGACGTTGGGTTTAATAAAAAACCATTGAAAACAATTCGGTCTTTAGCTAATGTTTAAAGCTAAATAATAGTTAGCATGTTCATGTGCTAAACTGAGTTAACGTCACTGAATTAAAATTTGCCATCAAAATGTTTGCAATAAACATTGGGTTAAGCTAATGTAATGTATGACTCAGTATTTTGGCCACACAACAAGATTATTATTATTTTTTGAATTATGAGATTAAAGTCATAATACTACCAGAAAAGTTGTAATTTTACATGAGGTCCATTTTTCGTACCTGGGTCTGCTCACCTGCTGTGGACAGCCTCCAGAATGTCCTGTGTTAATGTATGAAGTAGTCCCCAACTGTTAGTGTAATAAGRTTCCATCTACATAATGTGATGACTAAACTTCACAACTTTTCAACAGTGATAGACTGCTTCTCATAATATCATGACTTTAAGATTTTATTCTCGTATTACAACTTTTTTCTCATATTTTAATTTTATTTTTGTAATATGAATTTATTCTTGTACACCTTTTTTCTCATAATATTATGACTTTATTCTTGTAAAAAACAAAATCTTGAAGTATGGCCCAYTACTTAGTTGTACTAATGCTAACATTTTGATAGGATTTAAAATCAATGTAGTAAACTCAGTTCAGAACATTAGAATACTAACAGTAACGGTGTTAGACTTAGCTTTAGCATTAAGCAAAGTGTAAAACTAATATTTTGATAAATGCATTGTAGTCAATGTAGTAAACTGAGGTAACTCACGTTAGCTTAACTTAACTTAGCTTTAAACATTTCTGTAAAGTTAGGTCAAATGGTACATTATTGTTAGCAAGCTAACATGCTAAACTGTGTTAACTACACTGAATTGTATTCCTGCTATAAAAATGTTAGCATTGTTRATTTAAATCAGCATCTAGCTCACATCACAAAGCTGCTAGATTGTCAATAAATATTTTATTGTAAACAAAACAAATGACTAATCTAATAATTTTTCTTCACTTAAAAAAATTAAATGTATGGGAAATCAACATGGAGGTAACAAGAACGGCCATAAGGACCATTTTAGCTTTAAAGGGGCAATGTTATGTGTTTCTCAAGCATACATTTAAATTCTATACCATAATAAAGTAACTATGTCACCTTTAGTTGTTATAAAAATGCTACTTTTATGTTTAAATAAAAAATAAACTCTTCTTCTCATCATTTCCATTTCTAAACACCTTGAAATTGGCCTCCGTCTCTTTAAGAACCTCCTTCCGCTTCTGCCCCACCCATTTCAACATGGGGGGTGCTGTAATGTGGAAACTCTGCGTACTTTACTTGGCATCTGAAAATACGTTTCCTCAAAGCTATTTTGAATCTGAAAATGGCTGTGCTGAGATTTTTTTATCTTTATTTGAACAAATGATAAGTATACAACAAACAAATTAGTGAAGCATACAGAACACAACACTTACATGAACAAAACAGCCAGGAGGATTAATTAAACAAAGATATGCAAAGAATTATTACATATAGAGATCGTCTTAAGGGCCTTTTCATTAGAAGAGTTTGTTATTGAATGAACATATACTTCCACATCCTTGATAAAATGAAGAAAACAAAGTTTTTTATGACTAAATTTACATTTATGAAAGTAAAATTTAGCCAAAATAATTAACAAGTTTATTATAAAAAAGCATTTAGCGTCCTTTCTATAAAAAAACGTTTAGCATTCTTTGTGCTGCGCTGAGAAGTAATTTTGGGAGCTCAGCAGATAGTTTCACTTTCACTTTCAGTTTCACCAGTTTGCTTTGTTACTGCCAGCCTGCAGGAGTCACAGGCAGGGTGCYGGGTGTGGGGTGGGAGGTGTGCTCTGTGATGAGGAAGCCAGGTTTGGAGCCCAGAGGTGGAGATGGTCCCCAAAAGGTGGTTCTAGTCCCAACCGGTCGTTTCTGCTCCCCTGCCTGGCTGTCTCAGGACACTACAGGATTTCTCAAACATGCATGAATGAGTCAAAGTAAGACTCTGGACATGTTTTAGATGAGAGGATAACATTATAACATGATATAAAACTCAAAAAAGTTGATTTTACAAGATAGAGCTCCTTTAAAGTTTAGACGGTATGTATCTGTCAGTTTAATTTTCTGAAGCTTTTAAAAGCTTATGAAACTACCCAAACACAGAAAATAGGTATAATGCTAAAACAAGAACAGTTAGACCAAGCAATGCCTTCACTTTGTGTAAGATGATTTAAAAATACYTTTTTGATCTTCTCAACATTCCCTAAGCTGTTGTAATTCCCTTGCAGGGTGTAGAGGGTCCAAGAGGTCCACCTGGGAGCAGAGGTCCACCAGGAGATGGCTTTCCTGGACCAAAGGTTTGTTCATTRATGATGTTAGCGATCAATAAAATCTAAAGCCATCCAACATTTAAACAACTATCTGCTGGTCAGRTAAGGCCAAAAAGATACTGATATCAGCTACAACCATGACTGACTGGTCCATCAGAACAGTTATGGATCCTTAATACACCAACACTGTGATGGTTAATGGTGTGGTGAACAACTGGACCACTTTCCTGTCCTCTTTCTACTCTTGTACAATTTGCTCATATTTAATCATACTGTCCGATTCCAGTGGAAATAACAGTTTGACATCTTTGTCCACTGTTAACAACGTGTAACATTTCCTCACACAGGGAGACCAGGGGCTGCCCGGCGAGGTCGGCGCCACGGGCGAGCGTGGCGCAGGCGAGCRGGGACCCAAGGTGCGTCAAAGCTCAGCGATTAGCAGTCGTCATCCAGATTAAAGTTAAAGATTTTTCAGGCCGTGAACTGACACAGATTTCCATCTGTTTGCAGGGTGAGCCGGGGTCGACCGGAATGGGAGGCTTGCCGGGGTTACCGGGTGAGGACGGCGCCCCAGGACAGAAGGTTGGGACACAGACCTTTTTAATCTCTCCCCTAAATCATGGAAAATGTAAGATCAGTGAACATGTGTGTCGGCGTGCTCGGATTTAGGGCGAGCCAGGAGCTGTTGGACTCAGGGGGGCGGAGGGGGCGCCTGGGGTTGGCACTCAAGGTGAAAAGGTACCGAAGGAACATTTGGACAAACCTTTTAATAAATAAAAGCTGTCAGATTATTAACTTTATTCTTAATGCTGCTGCTCAGGGAGACCAGGGCCAAAGGGGAATACGAGGTTTAACGGGTCCACCTGGTATCGCTGGACCCTCAGGACCAAAGGTAAACCACCATTAGGTTGTAATTGATAAGACAAGAATTTTTTTTTGTTGATTTAACAGTTTTCCTTTAATCTCTAATCAGGGAGAACCAGGAGCACAAGGACGGTCCGGTTCTCCTGGTRCACCAGGACGCTTCATCAATGGACCCAAGGTACTGTTTCAGCTTTGTAGCAGTTTAAAAATAATAACAASTTCATGTTCCTTTTAAATTTTCATATATAGAAGTGATAATTGTGTCTGTGAAGTTACTTTAGGGCCTTGTGTCATTGGAAGCAATTAGCACCTGTTTCACAGAGACGTTGTGATATTAAACTTCACTTTAATCTGACAGAATAAACTTTATTTATCCTTTAAAAAGGGAAGATTTCATCAGAATAAAAGCACATCACCTGCTACTTGTTTCATCCCAGAGTTTTAGGAAGATTTGATACAAGCCGTTTTTTGGTCAAAGCTTGAAAATAAATATTGTGAGGTTTTGCTAAATACATTAGTGCTTAAATTATGTTTCCTAAATGACTCTCAGCTACTACCACACCAAGTTTTAGCTCAATATCAGTACAATTTGCTGATTTATGATCATGTATGTGTTAGGTAACATCAGTTTTCTGTGGCGGRCATCTTGTATTGAGTTACCTCCAAAAGTTATAAGAAGTCAATGATCAAGAAATAATTATTTCAAAATGTTTAATTAAAATCCATCCAGTGGTTTGTGAAATATTTTGCTAACAGATAGAGTTGACATTAGAAGTTATTTCAAAGTTGAAAACAAAAAGAACTTGTGTGAATTATTTTGTGTTTAATTATGTGTTAAGGATCAGTTTAATCTGCCACCACAAGTTTGACTTTAAAAGCTATGAATTTGAATGAAGTGTAGCTATTTTTGTACTTTTTAAGGTTGTTTATCTGAAGCAGTCATCTTGAATTGGATTGACTCCAGAAGTTATCCAGTTGTAGATGTTAATCCAACAATCTCTGGTAGRTTCAATAAAATTGAAATGGCCATCTCATATTAGGTTGTGTCTAAAAGGTATCAGCTGTAGATTAACATACAATAATTTCATTAAAATCCATCCATTGGTTCAGGAGATAWTTTACTAACAGACAGTCACACTTKTGCCAATAAAAAAATTGAAAGATYAKTTAAAGCAGTGGGATCAGCGAAGCAAAAGAAACCAAAAATTGTGTTTTAAAGTAAAYAGATGGAAACGAGTTGTTTCAACCAGGCTTCAGTTCAAGGAAACAGATGATTGTTTCACAAGAATTTCTGCTGAGTCATGTTAGAAAAACACCTTTTCTCTGTAATGTCCCTGACATCGCTGTAATTCACGAGTTKTGCTCATTTTCTGAGAATTCAAGACTCTAAAGTAAAGTCTTCTAACTGTGACGAAGCGTTAGTGTTCAGATCAGAGCAGGAGGTCAGAAATTCAGTTTTCTGAAGATGAGCTGGAATTATTACTCAGCTCTAAAAATTATAGATGTGGGTAACGAAACAGGATTTACATGCAGATAGTTTTACTGTCTCCTATCTGAGCTTTCTACTTAAACAAAAGCTGCTTCGCAAACTTCATTATAACAACTGATTCTCTGCCTGTTTGTTTGTTTTAATTAAATGAAGCCAGTGGAGACAGACCTTCTGTTCAGAGGCAGCAGTCTGACTAATGACCAGCAGGGGGCGACTCCTCTGGTTTCAAAAAGTTTTAAATTCTTTGACAGAAAGTTTCTGGATTTAATCAGCTGAAGTTTGCTGCATTTCTTTTAATATATTATACATGTTGTGTGTGTACACGTGTGTTTTTTGTCACTTTTTTAGAATTTTGTTTGGTTTAATCTCCAACCTTGTCAGGACCGGTGGTTCCCGGTCCTGATGTGGTGAGACATCACTGATGGGTCAGGGGTCAGGGGTCAGGTTTAGAGGAAGGGTCAGAGAAGATGATTCAGAACCTGGGCATTGTGTTGAGACATGTCAATAAAAGAATGACGGAGGAACCTGAAAACGGAGAGAAAACAACAGGTTCAAGCTGGCGATGAACTAAAAGGCRCTTAAAAAATCCTAAACCAAAGTGATATAAACATATAGATCAAAGAGAGCAGGAGGACAAAGGTGATGTGATGAAGAACCACCTAAAATTTGTTGAAGCGCTGCATGTGTGACAGTCAGAAACTAGAAACAGGTGAGCAACGAGAGTGGAATAAAAAATTAAAATGAAGACAAACAAAAGGACAAAACAGGAAGTGGTAAACAAGTACAAACACACAAAACAGAAACTAAAGCTGAACACAACACTAATCCCTAAATACATAAAGACTATGCCATTGTTTTTTACTACAGATTTTGTTTAAAGATGTTTTTTTTAATGAACCATTTTGCTCTTTAAGGTAATGCTCAAATAAACCTTTTTTTATTCGTGGGGAGACGCTAACAAAACTTTATAATGGAAGTGTGTTTCAGTCTGTTAGTTTCATGCATGTAAACCTCTTCTAGGGGGATCCTGGTCCAAGTGGTCCTCCTGGCCCAATTGGGGAGACTGGCTATGGACTTCCTGGTCCAAAGGTAAAAAAAAAAGCTTTCTCTTACAAAGTACAACCAGAATAGAAAGACTATGTGTGCTTATTGTTGGATTTTTAATAAACYACAGCAAACATGTCTCAGCTGAGCAGTTTGGAAACTCAATTAGCAGCTAATGCTAACGTTCTCAAACTGTGGGGTGTGTGGGGGCCTTCTGGGATGGGGGGTGGCATTGTGTGTCACGAAAAAATATTTCTCCAAGTACGAGGTGGGGATCTGCCAATAAAATTTGAAGAACTCCGGCACTGATGCATTCCAGACTGGGTTTTTTGTTGTTTCATTTATCCATCCATCCATCCATCCATCCATCCATCCATCCATCCATCCATCCATCCATCCATCTTGTGGATGGGTGTTCTGAACTGTAATTTCATTGTGCTCTGTACAATGACAACAAAGGTTTATCTTATCTTATCTTATCTTATCTTATCTTATCTTATCTTATCTTATCTTATCTTATCCATCCTCTTCTGTTTTATCCGAAGTCGGTTCGTGGGGGCAGCAGCTTGAGCAGGGAAGTCCAGACCTCTTTTTCCCCAGCCACCTCTTCCAGCTCTTCTGGGAGGACTCCAAGGTGTTCCSAGGAGATAGTCTCTCTATCGTGTCCTGGGTCTTCCTCGGGGTCTCCTCCTCAGGGAGGCATCCTTACCAGATGCCTGAGCAACCTCAACTGGCTCCTCTCGATGGTGTTGTTTTATTCACACAAAAGAATGAAGGACTTGTGTTTATCTTTCCGCTTTAGGGTGATCGAGGAGATCCAGGTCCTGCAGGTCCATATGGTCCCAAAGGAGACGGCTATCCCGGACCCACGGTGAGAAACAGGACCACCTGTAATTACACACCATCCTCCCATGGGTTGAACCCAGTTCTTCTTTGTCTGTATTAGTGGGAAGTTTATGACCCAAAWGTTACAGAATCTGGTCCATATGATCTTGTTGTTCAGACCAGGATCAGGTTTCCATTGTGATCACTGAGGAAAACTTACAGTCGATCACAGCCTTTTGTTTGTTTGTTCTTCAAGGGCCCTCCTGGTCTGCCTGGACTTCCAGGAGAACCTGGTACAGAGGGAGTGGGTCTCCCAGGACCAAAGGTGAGGATGTCCAATGTCAAGATACAAATATTTGCTAAAAARAAGGTGATTTAAAATTTTGGTCGGACTGCCCAGCACTAATGTGACAGTCCAAGGACTAACCCTGTCCAGGACCTGACTCTGGAACAAGAGGAAAATGAATGGAGGCCTACTAGAACCCATAACAATGATGGAGCTTTGTTTGTTTTAAAGGATCTGTTTAGTTTGATTTGATTTGATCGTGTTGCTAAAATGTTGAATAACTGAGAGGAAACTGCAAACAGTGTCAAAGAAAAAGTTACAAATGTTTTAGGATATTTGTGGTCAAGTGAAAATGTTTGCTGTTGTTTGACTTGTTCAAGGGATAGTTCAGTCAACTTAGAAGAGACATTGTGTCTGACATTAATCTGTAATTACCACATTATTAGCATGACGTCACTCATCTAGCATGAAGTCTGACGAAACAGGCAAAAGTCTTCATTGATGCTGTAATGGCAAGCCAAAGAGCGTCTTTATCATTTTCAGGCTCATAAAACTTTTTTCCTAAAAATGATARACAGAGGAAAAACCATTTGGACACTGGTCCAGTGGAAGCTGATACAAACAAACCAGTTTAGTTTTGTCTTCTTGCCAATTGATGTTTCTGTGGTTGACGTTTTGACACAGTTTGTCCTGATTGTTTCATATAGGGGGATGTTGGATTCCGAGGGTTGCCCGGTCCACCTGGACCTCCAGGTGAAGGTCTCCAAGGACCACTGGTAAATATAAAACTCTTTGAACACCTGAGCACCGACACGATTTCTTTACAAGTTTTAAATATGAAAGACATTTTGCATTTGGAATCTCAAACCTAAAGTAAATGTTTAAGGTTGTAGTCCTGGTTCAAAGTGAAAGTTTAGTTGGTAGAGATACTTCTGGGTTTCAAACAATTGTTTGGTAAATAAAACTAGAATCAGAACTTTAAAACATACGTTTAAAACATTTAACAGTTATTTTCTTTAATTAGTTAGAGTTGCCACAGGTGTCTTCAACTCCTTTTACAACAAAGCTGTATTTGACACTTAGTATCTCAGCTCCAAATGTTTAGGTCTAAAAATCAATTCAAAAAATAAATATATGATCGAATGAWCTTTATTTCTAAAGTGAACTCCTGCACATTAAACATGGGGTTAGGTTAGCAGCAAAATAATGTGCACTGCCAAGAATACAGTTTGAGGCCTCCTTTAAATGATTCATTCTGAAAAATGTTCTTTTTACATTTTAATGTGTTTTAAAATCAACTTTATTGCCCCATAATGGTGCAGCRTGGGTAGTGGGTACTTCAGTGTTTTTTTTTGTGGTTTACAGTGCCCTTAGACGACATATGTTGTGACTTACACTATAAAAATTAGCTGAATTGAATCAAATTTTGTTTTAATTGAGGTTTTTCTTTCAAAACACGTTTATTGAGTATATAGGATTAGTGACATAAGATTTAGCTTTTTTAATACACATTAATAAACAAACCAAAAACAAAACAAAAGAAAACATAGTACACAACACAACATTGGACTCAMTAGGCAACCAGCTGTCCCCTATAAGGTGTAAAAAATGCACAATAAGTTCCCAAATTCCATCAAAAGAGGAGAGTRTGTCAGTGTGTATCATATCCTTTCTGAATACAATGTGTTCACCAGGTTATTAAGCCAGAGATTCTTCTCACTCACTGTTTTTCCCAGTGAGTGAGAAGAAGTTTCTTTGCAATAATAAWACAATCAGATATAAAACACCTTTTTTCATGGCTCATTATCACAACACTATCAGAGATGCCAAAAATAATTGTCAGTTCAGTGGATCAGGATTCAACTGTAAATGCAGAGATTTGATTAAGACTTTAAAGAAACTTTGGTTGTGTTCACTCTGCAGAAAAAAACAAAACAAATTCCAATCTGATCCAGGTCATTTTCATCTGTGAACCTAAACCAGACCCTGAGGTTTTCCAACATGGCCTCAGTCTGAACACTCAGGTGTCAGTGAGGCTGGGGAGCACAGATCCTCCAGTTTAAAGCTCAGYACGTGGCTCATCTTCAGCTACAGGACAGAAGTCCAGCTTCTTCATCTGTTTTTAAACTTTCTGGCTTCATCATGTCCTGATGGCTGAGACACAAACACCTGATGCTAATGGTGGCACCAACATGTTGGATCTGATCCAGACTTTAATTTGTTTTGTTCCAGAAATAACATTCTACTTTTGAGTAGCAGGAAGCAGCAAAATGTACACATTGAACAGAACAATCACAGCAGAGAATAATTTAGTTAAAAACATAGAGGCGTGTCGACGAGGCCCAAGTTAGAAGTTGAGATTATGAAATAATAATAAAAATTAAAATAAAAGCGTCGCTTCATCCCACATCCAGACAAGTCGGCCAGGAGGGGCTTTTATTTGTTCAGGGTACACCCCCACCCCACCCCAACACCCATGCTGACATGAGTGAAGAGTCTAAATCTGCACAGATATGTGTGTGTGTGTGTGTGTGTGTGTGTGTGTGTGTGTGTGTGTGTGTGTGTGTGTGT